GTTACGGGCTATACAGAGTTCGTTTTCAGAGCAATACTAAAAATTAAATTGAATTTATTTTATATTATTATTTTTCTCAATTTTTCATATGAACAAGTTGTATGCTTTCTAGATTTGATCCGTTTAATAATAAGTGGTACCAGGACATACTGATGCTTTCACCGCGAACTCGAGTCGGTGTAGCGAGTCTCCGGAATCAGTTGCAAGTCTACTCTCGTTGGAGTTTTTCCTCCTGGTCGTGAAAAATAGTTTTGTAGGTACGTCATTGGCGGGTTCAGCGGATACGAACGTTTGACGCTCGTTGAATCGCTTGACACGGAAACGAATAAATGGCAAACGGTCGCCTCGCTGTGTTGTAAACGAAGCGCGTACTGTGCTGTGTCACTGGATGACAAGATTTATGTAAGCAGACATAAACAACATATAATGTAAGCAAATAATTTTTTGCAATGCGTAATATAATGTGAATATTCTTGAACAGATCTGGAATGGTGTATGTTCAAAAGCAAATGCAAACTGTATGTCCCGTTCCCATGGAGGTAGACGCATTAGTTGCATCAAAAATTCGCTGGAATTAGAGACGTCATTGCTTAGGCAGTAGCGGTTTCAGTGAGCGATAAAGTGCTGACGATTGTAAAGGTTAATGGCCGGTGCCAAATAGTACAGCAATCATCTGGCAATGCAGAAAACTCTCAGGGAAATATACAGAACGCGGAATACAATAGTTAGAAGAATAAAGAGCTTCACATTAAAATTAATGATGCCGGACTGAAAAGGCGGAAGCATGCAGTGTAAAGAAAGAAAAATCTATTTTTCTCTTTACACCAGCAGCACTACTGCACCATCCTCTTGCTTCTAGCCACCTAGGGGGACCATTTAAGCAGGAAACGACTCCATGATATTTAAGTGCTTACGGTGCATGGGTCATTAGTTCATCTACGGATCATGGCGTATGGGTTTGAGCATTTCTTCGTGCAACCCTATTAAGAGACGCGATTTTGCGTTTTATGTACTGCAGGCGCTCAAGTACCATTTATCCGTGACCTGCTTAAATGGTGCCCCTAGCGTTTTGAAATAAGGGGGAGGTGCCATGGAGGTGCTGATGTAAAGTGAGAAATATATTTTTCTTTCTTTACACTGCATTTTCGCCACGCTTTTCAGTTTCGATCCGTATCATTATTTTAAATGTGATATTTTCAGCGATGGTATCAATAGGTCCCCCAGAACATCTTGGTTATATTTTGTCTAAAAAGACTTCATGGACAGTATTTTCACTAACTCGGTGAAGATATAGACGTTTACCAGACTTTCAATTGACTGCTAAGAATTGGACTTCATAACGAAACAGAATCGCATGTAATGGCTGCTGAAGATTAAACACTGAACAAAGGCCCACTCATCGAAGATTCTTCACAAGCAGCCAGAAGCAAAGAGATGAATGCGTCGAGTGATGGATGAGACCGTGACCCATATAATTTCCGGGTGCAAAATTCTCTCGAATCCAGGATACAAGGAAAGTCGCAAAAAAGTTGTGGATTACTCACTGACATTTGTGTAAGCGATTCAACTTACTAGTGGCAAAGCAATGGCGAAAACGTCACGCAAAGTGGTTGAAGAGGCTGAGCAAGTGAAAGTATTCTGGGATTTTCCAGCACGGACTGAAAAGGAAATATCGCCTTATCGCCCGGATATTATGTTGGTGGAAGAAGCTAAAAGGTGAGACACAAATCATTGATATGCCATGCTGAACTGACGACAACGTTTTTGTTAAGAGGAGAGAAAAGATACTGAAATATGAAGAATTGAGGATGAAAATACAAACAGATCTGGAGAGTAAGGACGGAAGTCATTTCTGTTTTTTTGATTGGCGCCGTTGAAACAGTGAAAAGAGACCACAAGCGCCTCTTAAATTCAGTTGATTAAGCGATTAAACGGGTTGAACTGCAGAAGACGACGCTGCTAGAATTTTAGGAAGTTTACTGCAGTTACCCTAACCTTTGGTATTGGGTTCGAGCTGGAAACATGTTCTCACCACTCATGCTATATTTCATATAGTGTTTTAAATAATTTCTCAAACTTCTTGGCTGATTCTCCTATCTTGCGCATCGACATGACGCTAGTGTGTATTTTTCGCTCTAAGAGACAATTCGCGAATCATCCTCCGGTTCTTTCGCCTGCCAGCTAAAGTCATTCGTTTTACTTATGCGATATAACATGGCAAAAATAGAATTTCATGACGCTTTCTTCAGAAATTAACTCTAATAATCCTTCTGTCCAGGTTTATTGAAAAAGTTCTCTCTTAGATAGAGTTGTCTAAAAGGGCATCATGAGCTCTTTCTGCCCCGGTACCTTTGGTTAATTGTTCCATTATCCTTGGTCGTTGTTTGCTCTGCGTGCCAGGACGCTGAGCTTTGATTATTGGAGGATGTAATACGTATGCTGTATAATAATGAGGCCTATAATATGATATGCCGTGAATGTGATCCCAAAGACACCATATGTATTAATACATAATAAAGCATTTCGACATTTTATCAGCCTTCTCTCGCTGAATAGGCAAAAACGCCAGATAGTGTTCGATTGAGTATATCAGAAAATCTGTAGAAGATAGTTTTTGCACTACTTATGATCTGTCGTTAAAAGGTTGCCGCAGCCTGCGTATTTATATCGTCATATTTCTGAATAGGGATGGATATTTGTCATTTATTTTGTACCATACGATACAGCGTATATTGCGTTACAGTACATGATGCTATGCTTCGAGCTATCCAGGTGCAGCGAAGGTTGTTATAATAATATTGTAGTACTAAAAGTAATAAATTATTAAAATGTGCGTACTATATTATGTGCTGTCGACGATATAACATTTGATATTCTTACATTACTACATCATATTCTTCATCGTCAGGGTCTTCCAGGGGTTTGCTTCGCTTGCAAGTTTTATTTGACATAATCACGACATTTTGGATTCACTTCTTCCCTTCACAGGACAGTATATAACAACAGTATGCAATTTTTGCGTACTACAGAAAGCAGTATGGAATAAAATATATTATATTGCTATACTGTTAT